GTTATAATTACATACTACCGTAATTTTCGGACTATAAGCCGCGCCTTTTTTCCCATTTTTCGACGCTGCGGCTTATATAACGGTGTGGCTAATCTATGGATTTTTACAGCTAACGGCCACTAGGGGACCTCCTAAATCTATGGATTTTACAGGTTACAGTCCACCACCTTTAACTCTATGGGCTCTATGGCCGGTCCGCGCCCCCCACCTTTAAGCGGCGGGTTCCAGCAGGAAAAGCTGGAGGCCGGAAAAGAGTGAGACAGGTAGCGCGCAAAAGTAAAAGTGGAACCGAGAGTGGTACGAGAGACAGAACGAGAGCAAGACAGACAGACATTACGAGAGCGAGACAGTTTGTCCCCGTACCACTGGTTGAAAACCACTGCTGTAGATCACTGCCGGTACGTGCGCTGGGAGCGCACCGTTTAAGTTTGAAAGTTGAAAAGTTTGTGTGTCTGAAACGCTATCTGATACAGTACAGTTTACACAGCACAGTACATGTTCTGTAGCTACTATTGCACTAAATGGTAACACTTGAATACGTTATGCAAATATGCAACTTGTTTGTTGAAATGTTAATAAATGGTAGCTTCCTCAAACAGCCATCTCTTTCCCGACAATCCCCTCTGTGCACGAACCCTTACATATGGTAATTAAACATTAAAACACCTGCGGCTTATAGTCCAGTGCGGCTTATATATGTACACATCATTCAATTTAGCTGCTGCGGCTTATAGTCCGAAAATTACGGTAATCATAACAAAATGTCCGGAACTTACTGAAACACATCCTGCCTGCAGGTAGAGAGCCACTGTGAACACATAGTTTCCAACGGGGGTCTGCAGCTCCTCCAGAGGGTTTATCAGCTTCGTAAAGACTCCCTGAAGATCCAGAGGAACATTGTTCGAATCATAGGAAATTTGGCGCTCAATGAAAGTGCTTACCAGGCCATTTCCCAGTCTGGTAAGTCGGACACTCATCTGATTATTATAGGATGATCTTTGGAGGAAATGTTCCTATTTCATCTATGGATTACATAATATGTTATCACTAGGATCATCATTCAACATGTATCAAATTGCTTTACAATATACGTATTGTTAAGACTTGTATGTATGTTTTTCTTCTGTATAGAAATAAATCCAATATTTTCTTTTTTTCTTCCTTACCTGTATCCATACCTCAGGCTGGATATCTGTGCTGGCTGAGATGATGCAGTCTCCTCATGTCATGCAGGCGTCTCATGCAGCTCGCGCTCTCGCCAACCTGGATAGGGAGAAGGTGAAAGAGAAATACCAAGACGGCATCTATATCCTCCACCCACAAACACGTGACAAGTAGGTAAACACTTATTTCTATTGCCACATAATTGTTTATAAAGTATACGTTTCATTTGATTTACTATTTAAACCAACAGTTGTCTCTAACAATGTGTTCATTTCCAGCCAGCCAATCAAAGCTGACGTGCTCTTCATCCATGGGATTCTCGGGGCAGCTTTTAAGACTTGGAGGCAAAAGGACCGTAATGGGTTAGAGGAAGAGACAGAAAGCAAGGATGACTACACTGAGTGCTGGCCGAAGGTGAAAAATCCACATATGGATCAACATTAAGTCTCTTTCCAGGTTCTCCCTCCTACGATAAAAAATACATCTTTGTTACAACCATGGATTGGCCTATGTTGCGATTGGGGAGACTTAGTAGTGTTTGCTCAATTCAATGTGAGGTCTAACGAAGATTTGACTTCATCTTGAGAAAATGAATCATCACCCAAATCTTTGTTTTGTCCTTTTTTATTGACAGTCATGGTTGGCTGCTGACTGTCCCAATCTGAGAGTGCTATCAGTGGAGTATGACAGTCACCTCAGTGACTGGATGGCCAAGTGTCCTGTTGAGAATCAGAGGTGAGGAATATGTAGTTTCTTCATGTTTCCATAACATATTAGGGGCTGTGAAACTTATTTATCAATAATAATGACTTTCATATTTTTGCAAAAGTCATCCAACATGACGTATATTTAAGATTTTTTTTATTGAAATTAAATGTTTTATTATCCTGACTTCTCCAGTATTCATTGTGCGATTCATTAACTTTTCCAGAAAGTCCTTGGCCTACAGAAGTCGAGAGCTGCTAAAGAAGTTAAAGCTGGCTGGAGTCGGAGAGAGACCTGTGGTCTGGGTAGCCCACAGTATGGGAGGTAGTCTGTCAGAACTTTCCTTCCACAAACATGTCAGAATTTGGCACAAATAGCTCAAACTAGGGCTGTACTGAATAGTTTGAAGCTTTATTTATAGACATTGGAATTTGAATTCCAGAAGAACATACGAATGCTGTGCAGCTTCTGTGTATTGCAGGCCTAGTCAGTCTGTGTAAATCAAATCTCTGCACAGTAGCAGATCAAGATTAGGCTACATTAATATTGAGTATTATACTATTTGGAGAATTTAGATTTGCCTTGTGTTATCCAAACATTGTCTCAGTCTATTTATTTAAAAGAAAAGTAATCATTTTCAAAATACACATGACAACAAATGTATAAGTGTTTACTTAGAAGTTTTAAAAAAACATAAATGTATGAAATAGTAAGTGGATTTTAATATTTCACACACCTTGCAATTGGCTGATTTAAAGGTTGTGCTTACTGTCTGTCTGTATCCTCTCATCCAATAGGATTGCTTGTGAAGAAAATGCTGCTGGATGCCTCTGAGGACCCAGAAATGCAGGCACTGTTAAACAACACCAAGGGCATTATGTTCTATAGTGTTCCTCACCACGGCACCTTTATGGCAGAGTACTCGGTCAATGTCAGATATCTCCTCTTTCCCTCTGTAGAAGTCAGAGAACTTTGTAAAGGTAAGTTAAACAAATACATTCTGAGGTACAAGACTGTAAATGTTTCATAGAAATGTTTAAATAATTATTTTCATTTTCTATGTGTTTTCAAGACTCACCAGCACTGCGCAATCTGAATGAGAACTTCCTGGATATGGCAAAAGAAAAGGAATTTAAGGTGCTGAGCTTTGCAGAGACGCTGCCAACCAACATCGGTCCAATGATCAAGATCCTAGTGGTGCCAACACAGTCAGCAAGTATGTAACATTAATGAACATGGGAAATGTAGTTTTGATGTAGAATAGAATAGAAGGCCTTAATTGTCATTATACACAAAATATACAATGAGATTTTGTAGTGCAATCCTGTCACAAACGATATAGCCTAAATACAGTGGTGTAGTGGGGATTTTCTTACTGGGTGGACGGGAGACACTATGGACGCGCTCGTGGACTGTCAACGGGGGGGGGGAGACCTCTGTGTTGCCTGTCAGCGCAACTTACATGATGCCGTTTAGACAATATAATAATAAAGGGCGGTGCCGGCTGTCAGTGAACTGATCCGGCTTTTCTGCGCGACTATCACTCAAATGCGGGACATAGTCTCAATGTGTGGGACTCGGGACAAATACTAAAAATGCTGTGTTTGCAGTCCTGCACAGTGCGGGACACCTGGTCACCCTACACACACGGTTCTGCCCCTCACACACACGCGCTTCAAATCAAGTTGCATAAATGCTTGAGCTACGTTTTTATTATAATTACTGTGAAATCTGCCTATTATGTTTTCGTCATTATTACAACAAACACACACTTGCAACTGATAACACTGGCAATGATTTTAGATGTATTAGACTATTAAAAAAAGAAATCATGCTTCAAATAAGTGGGGGTACGGCGTGCCCCCGCGTCCAACGCCCACTACACCACTGCCTAAATATGAATGCATAGATCTTGAAAACAATAAGGATGTAATATTGTTATTTTAGCACATACCTTGATCAGGCTCTGGTTTGGTTTCAGATCTCGGCATCGGGGAGCTCATCGAGGTGGACGTAGATCATCTCAACATCTGCAAGCCAGAGAAGAAGGACTCATTTCTGTACAAGCGCAGCCTCCAGTTCATCCTGGAAGCTCTGCAGAGCTACATCAGCCACTGACTAAAATATATGAACATAAACACACCGATACACTTTTTACTTGAAATGGGGTAGAGCCAGACACCCATCCCCTCTAAACCAAATGGAAACATAACTGCCTTTCCTTGTTGTACATTTACATAAACAACCACTAATGTGATCATAGTATAAATAGTGAAATTCATTATAACTTACACATCAAATTGTAAAGAGTAGTCAGTTGTGAAATATTGGGTGCTATTTAGTTTTCTAGTCATCCTTTTAGATTGGTCTCTCTCACATAGAGTATTTTTTAAATCATTGACATTTTTGAAAGATCCTATTTACGAGTTTCAAATCATTCAAATGTATAATATATTTTATTTGTATGGCACTTTTACTTACCAGTTTGACATATGGCACATTATGGTCATTCAAAATGTACATTAAGATGCACTGACTTGTCTTTGCCACTCATGCCACTCAGTATTTTTGACAAGTGGTATTAGATTCTATTTTTTAAATTGTTTTATTTAACTCTTATTCAAGTATGCGTGTCATATTGTTGGCCAAAACATGTTCCTTCCTGAAATTTACCTAAAATGTACCTGTTGTTATAATTTCAGGTTGCTTTATTCATTTGTACAGGGCTAATCAGGCAATTGGTTTTCAATCTCCATGTTGTTTGTTGTCCAAATTGCCACAAGCAATGCTGACTATGAATAAATGTATCAAGTTGGACTTTGTCTATTCTTCTATCTTTCAACTACTAAGGGAAAAGTTGTGAGTCTCTAGGCACGACTGCTTTATGGTAATATGGGCTTTGATTTATTATTAAATCAAATTCATTTTAGTTTTCAGTAGAACTTTTACTGTTATTAGATCTTACAGACAATACTAATGTAAGGTCACTTACACATTTGAATGCAGTACTTTTACTTTAAGTGGAATATTTGTATATTGTAGTTTTAGAACCTAAAATAAAATCGCAATATTCCTTTCATGACTTGAATTAACTTGCGATACTATTGCCATTTCTTCCGCCTTCGCGTTTTTTGCATCGCAGAATATTGTTCCTCGGTGCAGACCGTACATCTACAATGCTATGAGACATTAGCATAGACAACAGACACAGCTCTCAGGTTGGTTTGAGTCCCTCGTCCTTTTCAACTCCTTTGCCTACATTTTACTATGTATCTTAAGGTTTAACCATAGTTTGTTCTGCTTAATATTTGTTGCAGGACTAAAAAAGTTAACAAACTAACCAGGTTAAAGCCTAAAGCTAACGTTAGCATTTGTGCTTGAGGCACCAACGTTACCTAATCTTTTCCCCCTCTAAGTTAACGGCATCTTATGTTAAAGTTACTATTTTCATTTGACAAGTCAGACCTGGACATGACACCTTTTTTTATATTGTTCGTTCATATTTATCGACTGACAAACTGACAAACTGTCTTGAGTTTACCCATTACTCTCGTTAGCCTCTCTTGTTTACGGTCGCAAATTAAAATATTTTTGTGTTACAGGTTTCGAGCGTTTTATTTAGCATCGACTGCTTATTCCTCTGCACCTGTCAACATGGTCAACGTACACAAAGGTGTCCTTGTTGAATGGTAAGTAAATCTGTCCAGAGACATTTCATTTGCATCTTGACAAAGTAATTCTGATCTACACAAACAGAAAACCATGTCTGCAATCTGCATGTTCTTTTTTGACATTTGTAAAGGGTATATTGACTTACAAAATCTTCCCCTTGCTCCCATCCTGCTCGCCGGACCAGTGATCCTGCCATGAAACAATTCCTCCTGTTCCTGGATGAAAAAATGGCCCTGGGAAAGAAGTTCATCCTCAAGGACCTTGACGACACACACTTGTTCATCCTAGAAGAGGTGGTGAAGACCCTGCAGGAGAGAGTCGGCGAGTTAATGGACCAAAATTCATTCCCTTTCAAGCAGCAATAACACTCAACTTTTCAAAGCAGTCTAGCTTCTTGGACTTGGGGCTGTAAGACAGTTTTTGTCTCCAAATGAACATGGTTTGCAATGTTTTAACTGCAGACGGAAATGGAGCAATTGCTCTTTTTTGTTACAATAATGTGAAGTAAAAATGCTTTACAGTGTTGGCTTTGTAAAGAATGCATTTCTTTTCTGATTAAAAAAACTCATTTGTTAGCCTTCTGAAATGTCAAACATCATACATATTTTTTTGATGACCCTGAAGAATATAAGCGGGACTTAACCATCTTATTTTCAATATTTCTGAGCCCACTTGTCCATATCAGTGAAAAAATAATAAGAACGTTTTTCAAACATTTTAATTAAAGATAATTTCAGTTTCAATAGCTTTCATGTCATGTGACCATAGCATGTGACCCAGTGACTACACATCAATACAGCATTGTATTACTACCCCGGATTTTTAACCCACCTTCCATTTCATATGATTTATTCAAATTCAGTAGTGGGAAGTTTCAATTTGTTCCCATTCCTTCCATGTACTGTTACATCAAATGAATCTGCTTTAATTTGGATTATTTTGGTCACATCATATGGAAGCTATTGAAAACATCAGATAGTTAGACTTTTTTGTTTTTTAAATGCAGACTTTATCATGAAGATATTCATATATAATAGAACATGAACTAAAGTCAAATAGAGAGGCATAAACAAAAAACGTATTATAAAAAATAAACAGTCACAAGTATGCTGTATGCAACATGCCTTGTAGAAAACAATACATCTTGATTCATCTAACAGTCCCATAAGCTGTAACTCAAACATGGATCGTAGCATTAAACTATTCAAAATAACCATTCACATCAATATAATCCAAACATTTAGCTATTACCTGTGAGTTGCATCAATTGGTGGCAAGATGCAGCTCCGCTAGCCCAAGTAGCCTACTTCTTACCTCGCTGCCAGATTTGGGGAGTTTCATCAGACCTTGATAGTGCATTGTCTACGGGGACTTTAGAAAGTTAAGCATTCTGATTTGACAAATGTCTACGGTCAGATACTGTAGACTTCCAATCACAAGGACATCTGGAGTCTACAGTGACTGTGGAAAGTTAAGCTTTCTGATTTGACAAACATCTACAGTCGGACACGTTACTCCAAACTCTATTGGACAGTACGACTGTAGACTTCCAATCACATGTCAGTATGCAAATTCCCATCGAGCGTAGACAAACAGCAGCCAAAGACTGTTAGCGTGCAGTAAATAAGCACTTTATATTCACACTTTGTGTTTATATTGTGCAATTTGTCTTTTACTACGGCATAACAGTATCCCTTGTTGTCCAGTGACTTTTTTTACACTGACTTCATCGTTGACTTGCTGGTTTATTGCTAGCACAAACTTGGGTTGACATGAGGTTTCTTGTTTTTATCTGTCTTCATTAAAGTATATTTTTGTATATGTTCTTACTTTACCCGCTACATACTTCGGCAACAATTATTTTATTAAACATGTTATCTTATGTTATTTATAACTTTTTAAACCTTGGCAATAACCGTACGGACCAGGCCATATTACTGCTGGTTGCCGCTAGTTAATTGTCAGCATCGCTCAATGAAACCTCCATAAACAATGTTTTATATGCTTTGAAGTTACCCACTACAGTACTTTAAGTTACACTTTGTCATTATCTGTTTAATCTAGTGTTAACCATTTAATTTCTGCTTGTGTTCACCATTTAATTGCCGGTAAATTAGACAGTACTTCGTTGTCAGGTAACCAGTAGTTAACGCTAGCGATAGTTGAAAACTTGAAGCTCAGTGAAATCTCTATTATATATTATTACCCAATTAATATTTGGATTATATTTGTTATACCCATTGCGGTAAAACTTCTGTCAAGATCCATTGTTATTTATTTAATCAATACATACCTTTCAAATTATTCACTGTATTGCCCGTGTCTCTTTTGACCCGGCCTTAACATTGGCATGTTAATTATATTAACCTAAAATTATAGAGATACTGTAGTATACTTATGCCCCTTGATCTTCTATTTTGCATCCAAAAACAACCCATTACTCATGAATAAATAGGTAATTAACACCTATAATATCAGAGGAATTAGAATATAACAATTGCAATGATTGCTCTGTTTGTTTTTTGTCACCAATATTATATTTTATATTTTAGTTTGCATTGCCTCCACGGCTATGGTTATGGCATGATAAGAACTGCTCTGTATTCCTAAAGTTTGACCTTTCTGGCAAAATATTTAATTGATTCAGTAAAATGATGGCAACAGTAACAACATAAACTAAGGTAAACACAGTTACAAAAGCTGAACTGAATACAAATCAGATGCATGGAACACATTCACTTTTGTATATCCCAGGATTTATTTGTTATCAGCAGGTATGAATCAAATGTTAGTGTATCAATGACTTCTTGTAAACTAACATTTATTG